TTCCTTTATACTACTCCATTTTGTTGAGGGGATCTTGGAATAGTTAGAAGTTGATGTATTCCGTTGGCTTCACAGAATTTTTGAAAATCTTTTGAAGTGAATTATCCTTCTCGATCAGATCGCATAACTTTGATCTTGAGACCACTCTCTTTCTCTACATCTGCTTTAAACTTCTTGAATATTCCAAAAACCTCTGATTTTTCTTTTAAGAAATACACCCATGTTTTTCATGAAAAATTATCTATGAAGAGAAGAAAATAGTTGCTCTTACCAAGTGAGCTTGGTTCAATTAGACCGCATACATCTGTATGTATGAGCTCAGGAGGCTTTTGGGCTCTTGAACTTGACTCCCTTGGAAAGCTTTTCCTGAAGTGTTTTTCGAGTAAACACCATTCACATAATTGATCAGGGTGGTTGATGCAAGGTAATCCTATCACCATCTCTTTCTTTGAAAGCAATTCAAGTCCTCAGAAGTTGAGATGCCCAAATCGAAGATGTCAGAGCCAAGAAGCATCTTTATAACAGCTCTTCAGACATTTAACAATATTGTTTTGAATGTTGAGTGAGAACATTCTATTTTTAGACATTGTCACCTTTTACCAATATTGTCTTTTAAGAAAAGTATTTTCTTTCAAGTGAATGTCATATCCTTTCTCCAAGGGTTGCCCTAAACTCAAGATGTTGCTCTCCATATTTAGCACAAAGTAAACATTAGAAATAAATTGATGCTTCCCATTTTTCTGACGGATGAGAATGTTACATTTGTGTTTCACCTCTATCTTGGACTCATCTTCAAAAGACACATTGCCACTTACTAATTCGTCAAGCTCTACGAACATGCTTGATCTCCCACACATATGGTTGCTTGCACCGGTGTCTAGGTACCATGCACTATCTTCATCTCTTTCATTGTCCTTGTATGCTAGAAGTAAAGTACCATCTTCTTCTCTTTTTTATTCTATGTAGTTGACTCTTTCATTCACTTTGTACTTAGGTGCTCTACATTCTTTTGCATAATGTCTAAACTTGTTACAATTATAGCACTTAATTGGAGATTTATCATACCTCAAGTTTGAGCGCCCTCGACCACGTTCTCTTGTAGATCTTTCTCCTTTCTCATAGTTATTGTTGGTACTCCATCCTTGATTGCTAGCATGACCTCGTCCTTGTTCACTACCTCTTCCATGTTGGCTTCTAATGTTGTTGAAGCTTTCATCTTTCTGAGTTGGTTGGAGATTCGTCTTGAGAAGTTGTTCGGCAATCTCTTCATTCATCTTCTTCTTTTCTTCATGGGCTTGCAATGAACCCAAAAGTTGTTCTATCATCATGGCTTGTAAGTCCTTCGTCTCTTCGATAATGGTTGTGATACTATCAAATTTTGAATCTAACGATCAAAGAATTTTTTCCATGATAGTCACATCTTCTAACTTCTCACCATTTCTTTTTAGTTGATTGGAAATGGTAATGACTCTAGAAAAGTAATCGGAGACCAACTCGCCTTCTTTCATATGCAAAACATCAAATTTGCTTCTTAAAATTTGAATTCATACATTTTTAACCTTCTCTTCTCCCTTATACGAAACCTCGAGCTTCTTCTATGCTAGTTTGGTTGAAGTAGCACTTGAGATCTTCTCAAAACCATCTTCATCTAAAGCTTGATAGATTAGGAAGAGAGCCTTCTTGTCTCTCTTTCGCAAGTTTTTTAAGCTATCGTTTTGTGTTGTGGATAGAGCAGACTCAATGATTGGCTCATCGTAGCCTTTCTCCACAACCTCTCAAATGTCATGTGCTCCAAGGAGTGCCTTCATCTTGATACTCCAATTGTCGTAGATTTATTGTCGTAGATGCTTTCCTTAAGCATCGAGACTTGAAATGAAACCATGTCACCGTTTGTCATTGCTCTGTAATGGAACCTTTAAGCTCTAATACCACTTTGTTGGAAAAGAGAAGCTTTTTGGATATGACAAAGACTAAAAACTTATGGAAGAAGCTTCACACTTATTTTTCACCTTAACTTGGCTTGATACAAACTCAAAGACTCCACCCCTATTTATACTAGTGGCACCTCTTAAATTAATGACTAGGATTGTGCCACCACAATTCCAATCCAATAGTTACAAATAATTTCATACCTACCACACAATAATTCCACACCTACCACATCTAATACACAATAATTTCATACCTACCACATATTCTAGAATAAACTTCTAGCAATTAAGTTTTATTTAAACAACAAAAATCAAGTTTATTTTTCAACATGCCTGTAAAATTAGATCACAAACTAGTAAGACATAAGTTAAAGATTCATGAAATCTGATTCTTATATATTGACACAATTTTTTTTAAGAAATTATATAGACTTTTTAGTGATGGCAATATCAACAAAATCCAAGTTGTATTCATTGGTGGTTATTGATGATGGGGCGATACTAGAGGGTTGTTCCCCTTTCTTGTAAGTTTTATTTTATGTAGTAAAAGTTACTACCACAAAAATTTTATTTTCAATCTCCTCTACTTATATTAAAGTTGTCAAAATGGCTCCTTGTTTGCGAACAACTCGTGCTTGGCTCATTCAATAGCTCATATTCAATTTTTTCGCTAAACAAACGATTCGAACACAATTATTTTTTTTGTACTTGATATACAAAATGGCCGAACATGAACAAAAAATTGTTTATTCGCATACGGCTCATTTTGATTCAAAATAATTATATATAT